CAAAGTCCAGCTGAATAGTACAGGGAGGACAGCTCTCTTTCAGGATCTCTGTTTTCACTCCACAGAAAAAAAGAAAAAAGACATCTTACCCCCTGCTCCCCATGCCTCTTTACCAAGATATGGTTAGGTATGTTTGCATGTTTGGTGGGGAACAGGAGGAGATAACATGTGTGTGCACATAAACCTTAACAACATGGGATGTGATTCCTAAGTTTTTCCCCCCCTTGTTGTCATTGACTAACTCAATGGACCAGCCAATACAATGATAAATTTCAAGCATCTCTAGAACAGGATGGATCCTTAGAAAGTTTGTGGTACATTAGTCTTTTCAAATCCCTATTCATGGTCAGTTAGAGATCCTGACATATCTTGGTGTTTGCTTTATTCAAGCTTCAGTCACTTCTATTTTTTCACTGCTTTTACTTGCCTAATAATTAGTGTCTAGACATCAATTTTTTTGTCCCACTTTCACTATGGATTTAATCCAAAGTAAAAAGTTTGGAAAAACAAGTCCTTCCATCACTATCAACACACAGTCTTGGGGCTCTATATTTCAGTCTGTTCATTACAATGAATTATATAGGAAACTATATAATGTCACTACAGATAATTTTGCAAGTCCCACAAGTGCTCAACTGGCCACAAGGCTGTCACGTCAAGAATTGCATTTTAATAAAATTGCCACTAGGTGACAGCAAATCTTCAAGACAAACCTATAGAATTACAAGGTTGTTTCTCAGAAGCTAAACAAAGTTTGTCCCAGGCCTCTTCTATACTGCCATATAAAATCCAGATTATCTGCTTGGAACTGGATTATATGGCAGAGTAGACTCATATAACCCAGTTCAAAGCAGATAATGTAGATTGTCATCTTTGAGAATCTGGATTATATGACAGTATACATGGGGTCTCAGATCCATTTTTTTAAAAAAAAGGTATCTAGTCTTCTCTGCCAGAGTGCTGATATCTTACCAAGCTCTAAATCCCTGTTAAAGTGATGTCACACTGAATTAATTCAGCACTTTACATGCATGTGTGCACCCTACCCACCATCCCTTAGTCAGTCCCACTCCCAGTCAGTCCCACTAAATAAAATGAATCAGGAAAATCAAGGAAAATCAAAAAGATTCGACTGTGGTACTGAATAGGGGAGGAGGATCTGTGATCGGCTGCCATGTGGTTCCTTTTCGGATGGGAATCGTGACGGCTGGGTCTTTGCCGTTACAGACACCTGAACAAACTGAATAAGCCAGATTGGCCGGAGGGAATGGCTATAAATGGATCCGGGCTCAAGCCTAATAGATAGTAAACACATTGGTAAAGAGTATTTATTTGGGGAAGAGTGGCTTAAACATTTTACTCTATTCTTGACAAAGGACCTAAGAGTGAAATAATGGAGAGAATCCAATGGAATCTGACAGAGAGGGCAATGCATCTCCAAGGGTTCAATTGATGGCTGTTTTAATCTTAGGGAAAGTCCAATGTGTTGAGTACTTGGAGATATATCCAGCTTCCCCCGCCTCCCTTGTGGCTTAACAAATGGCATGCCAGCAATATTACCCTTTGGCAAGCTGTGTGCCTTGCACTCTAGCACTAGTATTTATAAACAACCCACTGCAACAAAATGTCTGGAGCTCTAGTGCACTGAATTTACATTTGCTTACAACACTGACAGGAAATTGTGTGAGAGAGAAAGAAAGAAAGCATGCACTAGGCATTGTTTCCTTTATGCAAGAAATAGCTTGTTTTTTTAAAAAAAATCATAGGACCGTTATTTCCTGTTCTTGTAAGTAAAAGACTGCTGAAATGCAGAGAAATTGCTCATCTTGGGAACAATTTGATGACTATCAGTGGAACAGTACAGCAATGTGGCCTCTTTTCTGATCTCTGCTTTTTTTCTCACACTGGTGTCTAAGTTTATCATGCTGCTTGGCAATTCAGTGCAAAACAAAGTACATCCTTTCAGTGTGTAGGTTCAGAACCTGGGAACATAGTTTTATTTTTAATGTAAAAATAAAGATACAGAATGGAGGACAATGCCTGGCTCGAGAGCAGTACGTGTGAAAAAGACCTTGGAGTCCTCATGGACAACAAGTTAAACATGAGCCAACAATGTGATGTGGCGGCAAAGAAAGCCAATGGGATTTTGGCCTGCATCAATAGGAGCATAGTGTCTAGATCTAGGGAAGTAATGCTACCCCTCTATTCTGCTTTGGTTAGACCACACCTGGAATATTGTGTCCAATTCTGGGCACCACAATTCAAGAGAGATATTGACAAGCTGGAATGTGTCCAGAGGAGGGCGACTAAAATGATCAAGGGTCTGGAGAACAAGCCTATGAGGAGCGGCTTAAGGAGCTGGGCATGTTTAGCCTGAAGAAGAGAAGGCTGAGCGGAGATATGATAGCCATGTATAAATATGTGAGAGGAAGCCACAGGGAGGAGGGAGCAAGCTTTTCTGCTTCCGTGGAGACTAGGACGCGGAACAATGGCTTCAAACTACAAGAGAGGAGATTCCATCTGAACATAGGAAGAACTTCCTGACTGTGAGAGCCGTTCAGCAGTGGAACTCTCTGCCCCGGAGTGTGGTGGAGGCTCCTTCTTTGGAAGCTTTTAAACAGAGGCTGGATGGCCATCTGTCAGGGGTGATTTGAATGCAATATTCCTGCTTCTTGGCAGGGGGTTGGACTGGATGGCCCATGAGGTCTCTTCCAACTCTTTGATTCTATGATTCTATGTTCCAAATAAGCATGGATATGTTGAAATAGCTCAGTCTAACAACAGTAGCAGACCCAGCCATTTTGGATCTTGTGCAAGGAGAAAGGTGGAATATAAATTACATGAACAAAATTACAATAAAATTAAAATTACAAATTATCATGTCAAAGCAGATTTAATACCATAGTACTCAACTGCCCCAAATCTCTTACCATATTCTTTTTTTCACTCTGCCCACTCTAATATAATTCCAGCTCTATTCAGGTGTTGTGCCCATGCAGTGTGTGCATGTGGGTGTGTTGTATGACCTCAAGGGAAATCTGTCCCAGAATTGTATTACAAGGTCTCTTCAGCAGAGGCTTGCCATTGTCAACTTTTGAAGCTGAGAGAGTGTCATGTCCTCAACTCACCAAGACGATGTCGGTGGTCAAGTGTGGATTTGGACCCAGATTTCCCAGAATCCTTGTCTAGCACTCAGACAACTACACCATGCTGGTACTAAAAGGAGAGGGCCATTGCCAATATCTGCTTGTTCAGAAGGGCTTTAACTAAAATGAACTCTGGCTGTACAAATGGTTCTACTCACATTTTAATTCTCCTGTGAATTCCCCATTTACAACAATCAAGATAGGATATAAGGATGTTGGAGAGACATCTCTTGTTGGAGAGACATCCTTGTTCCATGCTTCTGTAACAGCAACCCAGTTATTCCTTCGACAAAAAGCCTTCGACAAAATTGATCTTGCTGATGCTTGTGTCCTATTCTCTGAAATAGCAGAAAGAAATCTAAATGTACATGCCAGCTCTTCAGATAACTGAATTGAGTTTTCTTGGCAAAATTTGTTCAGATAGGATGTCTAGTCTTTGCCTTCTTTTGAGGATAACAAAATGTGACTTATGCAGGCTCATCCAGTGGGTTTCCATGGCCAAGCGAGGATTTGAAACCTGGTCCAGAATTGTAGTCGAATACTCAAACCACTATACCATATAGTCTCACTGTTATCTGTAAATTTCTAATATAATCTCTCTCTTCGAAAATATTTTAACTGATGGTATGTGCAGCTGCCTCTAAAGATTTAATGAAAGCAACAGTTAGCACAAAACAACTGTTAGGCTTCTAACTGAGCATATTATACAGAGTTGGCATGGTGCCATGCTTTTGGCAAATCACAGACAGGAGATAAACCTAAAATAGGGGAAAGGATTGTTATCCCCTGGTTTTAAGCCTTAGAGGAAGGTAATTGCAAACTCTCTCTAAACAAAACTGGCTAGGGGTGCCATAACAAATGACTTGAAGGCACCCACTCCCCTGCCCTCTCCCTCACTCCTCCTTTCACTGTCACAAGTACAGGATGTCTGGTTGTTTAAGGATGCAATTCCCAGTGCTAATCCACCTTCTCAGCATGAACTTATTTTATACACATGGATTGTGAAACAAATTAGTTTTAAGAAAATCTACAGAGGCAATTTTTTTCACTCTCTCTTCCAGCTAATATAGAATCACAGAATCATTGAGTTGAAAGAGACCTCATGGGCCATCCAGTCCAACTCCCTGCCAAGAAGCAAGAAAATCGCAAATCACTCCCGACAGATGACCATCCAGCTTTTGTTTAAAAGCCTCCAAAGAAAGAGCCTTCACCACACTCCGGGGCAGAGAGTTCCACTGCTGAACGGCTCTCACAGTCAGGAAGTTCTTCCTAATGTTCAGTGGAATCTCCTTTCCTGTAGTTTGAAGCCATTGTTCCACGTCCTAGTCTTCAGGGCAGCAGAAAACAAGCTTGCTCCCTCCTCCCTGTGACTTCCTCTCACATATTTATACATGGCTATCATATCTCCTCTCACCCTTCTCTTCTTTAGGCTAAACATGCCCAGCTCTTTAAGCTACTCCTCATTGGGCTTGTTCTCCAGATCCTTGATGCCTAGTGCTCCCTCTCTGACACCTTAGGGGGCCTTGGAGTATATAGGGGTCTGTGTGTGTTGTCGTTGTTGGGGGTCCATGTACAGGGATGAAAAACACTCCTTTCCTTAATGTTCTTACACCTCATTGGCCAGTCCAAACAGCTGTGTCAGTTTAGACTGTTTTCTGTCTGTTTCCCTTTGACTAAAGACTGGGGTAGGCATTAAATAATAATAATAAAAAGAAACAAATGAGGCACACTCTATCCAAATTTGAGAAGTTGAAGGGCTCTCCAAGGCATCAAATGATATGCCTAACTTTCAGTTTTGTTTTTCACAATATTAAGCTCCCAAGCCTGCAAATCTGACCAATTAAAAAAGGGATGCCAAGTCAGCTAGATACTTCTATAAACCTTGCATAGAGAAGAGAGCAACAATCATAAGCTCTACCTTACCCTTTTGCACATGAAAGACAGGAAAGAAAGGCTTTACCAGGTTTGGGAGGAGGTGTGAAAGCGGTCTGCTGGTGACAGCACCCAACTAGATCAGCAAGCTTAGTTAGAAGTACACACCTCATTATTGCCTGCAACACACTTTTCTTGAAAATGAATTTGGGCCCTGTTTTCCTGGTTACATTCCTGATGGCTTTCCCCTTCAGCCTGAAAGGTGAGTTTGAATCCAATTCCTTCCTTTTCATTCCTGGGTGTGGCAGAATACTACCGCATTGTAAATGTTTACAATACAGATATATCTTTTAATTCAAAATATTTAAACGTGACTGTGTTTACTCCAACCAGGATGTGCAGTTTTTGAATTTAGGACTAAAAGTTTTCCAGCATGAGTTCAATGGACCTGCAATGCTGTAACTGCAATTGAGCTTTGGAAATTCTGGGTATTAATTCAGACACTGTGGTTTGGCAAGTACATGATGACTTCTATCACAAATATTACAGCTTTATTTGGTGGATGGCGAGTAACTTGAATATTGATTAGTTTCCCCATGCTGCAGATACTGAGCACAGTTCACTTGGTAAATAGTATTGAGCAACCCATTAATTTCAGCATGGTTTGGATAATTTTGAAGCAGATGTTAAAAGACGATTAAAGGAAGATGATGTAAACTTTAATGCAGCGTTTCTCAACCTGGGGGTTGGGACCCCTGGGGGGGATTCACAAGGGGGTTTCAGAAGGGTTGCCAAAGACCATAAGAAAACACATATTTCTGATGGTTTTAGGAACCCCATTTGGCAGAGAAGGCTGAAGTTCTCTCCGCCTGTCCTTGTCTTCCTTTTCGGAAACAGACGGCAAATCCTCCCACCAAAGGCCCTCCTCCACTGTGATCAAATTTGGGAAAAATTGAGTATTCGTGCCAAGTTTGGTCCAGATCCAACATTGTTTGAGTCCACAGTGCTCTCTGGATGCAGGTGAACTACAACGTCCAAACTCAAGGTCAATGCCCACCAAACCCTTTCAGTATTTTCTGCTGATTGTGGGAGTTCTGTGTGGGAAGTTTGGCCCAATTCTATCATTGGTGGAGTTCAAAATGCTCTTTGACTGTAGGTGAATTATAAATCTCAACAACGACAACTCCCAAATGACAAAATCAATCCCCCCCAATGCCACCAGTATTCAATTTTGGGGGTATTTGTGCCAAATGTGGTCCAGAGCCATCAGATCCACAGATATGCAAGATGTATTTTCATTGTTACAAATGGAACATAATTAAAGCATAGTGATTAATCACAAAAACAATACGTTTGGAGGAATATAGACAGTGGATGATGGAATTTGCAGTACCTTCAAGCAACTCAGCTCTGACTTCCACAGACCACTGAGACCCCCATAAATGACCTGGACCAAACTTGGCACACAGACCTCCCATGACCAACAGAAACTACTGGAGAAGTTTGGGGGGAATTGACAGTGATTTAGGAGATATGTAGGTCAATCCTCCCCAATGCCACCAGTATTCAATTTTGGGGAGTTTGGGAGGAATTGACAATGATTTAGGAGATATGTAGTTCTCCAGATGTAGGTGAACTACATATCTCCAGGTCATTTATGAGGTTCTCAGTGGTCTGTGGAAGTCAGAGCTGAGTTGCTTGAAGGTACTGCAAATTCCATCATCCACTGTCTATATTCCTCCAAACGTATTGTTTTGTGATTAATCACTATGCTTTAATTATGTTCCATTTGTAACAATGAAAATACATCCTGCATATCAGACATTTACACTACGATTCATAACAGGAGCAAAATTACAGTTATGAAGTATCAACGAAAATAATTTTATGGTCACCACAACGTAAGGAACTGTATTAAAGGGTCGCGGCATTAAAAGGTTGAGAACCATTGCTCTAATGGATGAAACATTGTTCATGAACATTCTTGCTTCAGGCTACTTTGGCAGGATCCATTATTTTTGCTTGTTTCATTATAAAATATCATCTATATTTATTTGTGCTATATAAATACATGATCATAGCAATAATCATTCCTAAGGAGTAACATCTGATTCAATCTGTTTGTCCCCTCTCCATAGGTGCTGAACCCAGGAATGAGGTGGTTTGTGGCTTTTTGGGTGATTCAGTTCTTCTGCCTGTTCCCAAATTCACAGGGAAATTAAGCCGACTACAATGGAATTTGTTACTTGCTAACAACACTGAACACCTTATTGAACGCAAAACAATATGGGACAATGCAAGTGAAAAAATGAAGAAGCACAATATTTTAAATGATGGAAACCTGAGAATAGATAAATTGGTAAAGGGAGATGCTCGAAAATACATAGTAAAGGGGCATGATGCAAATAATGCTCCATTATTTAAGCCAACCACAGTTACTTTGGAAGTTCATGGTGAGTCTCTATACTCCAAATCACTCTGTACTGTGGGATAAGCTTTTCTGTTTCTCTTCCTTTCTCCATCTGTGTCTAGGGTTGGTGAAGCACCAGCACTCTTCAGCACAAAAGTCTAAAGACCTTGTAAAACTACAGTTCTCATGATTTCATAGCATTAAGCCATGGTAGTTAAAGTGGTGTCAAACTGCATTATTTTTACAATTTAGTTTTTTTTATCATGTCAGGAGCAACTTGAGAAATTGCAAGTCGCTTCTGGAGTAAAAGAATTGGCCGTCTGCAAGGACGTTGCTCAGGGGATGCCCAGATGTTTTACCATCCTGTGGGAGGCTTCTCTCATATCCCCACATGAGGAGCTGGAGCTGACAGACGGGAGCTTACCCAGCTCCCTGGATTCGAACCACTGACTCCCTGGATTCGAACCACTTTCGATCAGCAGTCTTGCTGGCACAAAGATTTAACCCATTGCACCACCAATGTAGATGCACTGTTAGTTTCTCTTCATTCATGGAATCATAGAATCATAGAGTTGGAAGGGATCTCATGGGCCATCCAGTCCAACCCCCTGCCAAGAAGCAGGAATATTGCATTCAAATCACCCCTGACAGATGGCCATCCAGCCTCAGTTTAAAAGCCTCCAAAGAAGGAGCCTCCACCACGCTCTGGGGCACAGAGTTCCACTGCTGAATAGCTCTCACAGTCAGGAAGTTCTTCCTAATGTTCAGATGGAATCTCCTTTCTTGTAGTTTGAAGCCAATGATATGCATTGCTTTTCTATGTTCCTTTCTGGGCTATGACTACAATGCTTTTGATTTCCTGGAAGCATATGTTAGCTATTGCAGAGGGAAGCATACAGGACTAGATGATGGCTTAGTGTAACCATCAAAACTATTCCATATACTCCAGTTCTTCCCACTTGCCAGGGACAGTCCAGATTAATCTATCATTGTCCCACTTTTCCAAGCGCTTTTCAAATGTCTCATTTCCCTCCTCCTACTCTCACCTTCCCCCATTGTCCTCACTTTATTTAAATGGTTGCAAACTGAATTCAAAGCGCAAAAATAGTCAGTATTCATTTAGCTCAGCAGGTAGAAGCAAAAAGGAGGCAAGAGAACCTTGCCCTCCCTGTAGGTGGAGGCTCCTTCTTTGGAGGCTTGTACTCAGAGGCTGGATGGCCATCTGTCGGGGGTGCTTTGAATGCGATTTTCCTGCTTCTTGCAGGGGGTTGGACTGGATGGCCCACGAGGTCTCTTCCAACTCTATGATTCTATAAAAAAGAAACTGCTGCAGTATCATGAGGTAAAGGTAAAGATTTCCCCTGAGGGGTGGTGCTCATCTCCATTTCTAAGCTGAAGAGCTGGCATTGTCTGTAGACGCCTCCATGGTCATATGGGTGGCATGACTGCATGGAGTGCTCTTACCTTCCTGCTGAAGTGGTACCCATTGATCTACTCATATTTGCATGTTTTCTAACTGGTAGATTGGCAGAAGCTGGGGCTAACTATGGGAGCTCATCCCACTCTCAGGATTTGAACCTCTGACCTTTCAGTCAGCAAGTTTAGCAGCTCAGTGGTTTAACCTGCCACACCACCAGGGGCTCTTCATACTTTGACTTTTATTAATAATCCTTGCCATCTTGACCACACATTAGCGTTGCTTGGTTACATGGGTACTGGTTTCATAAGGGATATGTTGGAGGCTGCAAAAGGTCAGACTTAGATGCTGTTGACATCAAGAAAAGCGGCTTGTTCTGGAAATCATAAAACCAAAGTAGACTCATACAACTGAAGGTGACTCTTCAGATAGCTAATCCTGAGTTGTAAAGGGCCTTTGAAAGTCATAACTAGCATTTTGAAGTGGGCAAATAAGTTGTTACATCAAGGTTTCCCCTTAAAGGCTTAAGTGATGCCAAGTTTAAGTGGCTTTTTGGCAGTGGTTTTGCAACAGCCTTCTTCTGGCAAGCTGGACCTAGTGAGGCATTAACCACTCTCTCTACCTGCTCAGCTAGTCCTTCTCTAGCTCTTTTAATAAGCCAGGAAGAGCAAGGGTTTAAAATACATGTGGCAGCTCTCATATCTCTAGGGGTTACATCCACATCCTCCAGTAGCACAAATTGAAACGTATCTATTGTCACTGGACAAATGGAGCAGAGTTGCACCCACGGGATCTTTATCAATGACAGCATCTAAGTTAGAATGAATCTGAATTATTTTATCTGCAAAGTAGAATCATATAATCATAGAGTTGTAAGAGACCTCGTGGGCCAACCCCCTGCCAAGTAGCAGGAAAATCACATTCAAAGCATCCCCAACAGATGGCCATCCAGCCTCTGTTTATAAGCCTCCAAAGAAGGAGCCTCCAAGTACCAAGTAGATGCATGTCCAACTTATACCTGCATATGTTATTGTTGTTGTTCTTGACATTAGGATTCTTTACTAGCCTATCACAATGTCAACCCTCTTGACCTACGTTTTTCATGCTGCCTCTCCTACTCCCAGTCTTAGCCATTTGAGTGGTCATTGGAGAGCATGGGATGACTAAGAAGCATCCGGGTATTTACAGATGCATTAACATGAAGGTTTTTAAAGTTTTAATGAAATATATTTTCAAGTTGTCTTTTAATTTTTATTGTCAGCATTTTAGATTGGATTACTCTAATGCACTCTACGTGGGGCTGCCCTTGAAAACGGCCCAGAAATTTCAATTGGTACAATGGGTGGTGGCCAGGTTGTTAACTGGTGCTCCTTACAGGGAGCAGTCAACCCTCCTGTTTAAGGAGCTCCACTGGCTGCCGTTCATTTTCTGGTCCCAATTCAAGGTGCAGGTTCTTACCTACAAAGCCCTGAATGGTTTGGGACCCACCTACCTGTGTGACCGCATTTCTGTGTACGAACCCACATGATCCCTTCGATCATCTGGAGAGGCCCTGCTCGCGCTCCCACCTCCATCGCAGGCGTGATTGGTGGGGACGGAGAGGGCCTTCTCGGTAGTGGCCCCTCGACTCTGGAACTCACTGCCTAAGGACATCAGACATGCCCCAACTTTGGCAGTCTTTAGGAGGAGCCTGAAAACATGGTTGTTCCAGTGTGCCTTCCCAGAATAAGGAAATACTCTCAGCAATAGGTCCTCTAAATGCACTTTATCATTGATTTAGGTTGTTTGCTCGCCCCATCTCTCGCCAAAAATTCTATCCCAGTATATTACCTTGTTCATGCCCAGCATTATTTTTTAATTTTTAATTATCACATTTAGCCCAGCCATAGGTTTTTAAATGCTTGTTGTTACTATTACTGTTTATTGTTTATTTTTTGTTTATGAGATTTATTTTGATTGTTTTGTATTGATGTTTTGTTATGGCTTTTATTATTGTTGTTCTATGGGCTCGGCCTCATGTAAGCCGCACCGAGTCCCTTGGGGAGATGGTAGCGGGGTATAAATAAAGTTTTATTATATTATTTTTATTATTATTATTATTTAGTTGAGGTGCATTGTAGTTCTTTTATGGCAGAACTTTATATTACATTCCTTAACGTGGAAACTAAGCCAATGTGTTTTAAACCAGAGTTGGTTCCTCACATTTTCTGTGTCTTTTCTTCTTTCCTATTTTCCAGAACCCTTGCCTCAACCACAGATCATTGAGAATTGCTCCAAGAAGGAACTGATCTGTCAGGTTGAAACCAGTAAAAATTGCACCATTACAGTAAAGCTGTTTCAAAATGATAAAGTGGAAAATATTCAAGAACCAATATATGCCAATGGGACATGGCAGTGGACATTTCGACAAAGAAATCTTTCAGGGAAATTCAAGTGTGAGATTACCAGCAATCCTTTGAAGAATCAGATTGAGAAGGATATCAACTGCCTGGGAACAGGTATAAGTTCATATTGCTAAAAAACAAACAACCCCCCCCCAAACCCCCCCCCCCAAACCAAAACCTAGATTAAAAAATATATGTTCCAAAGATTATGTACAGAATTGAATTATGAAGCATTTAAGCCTCTGCAATAATGACAGTGTCAACAAGCTTACTTAATGCTGTCAATATCCATGGACATTTTATGTTCTGTCTAACATGCATGTAGCCAGCCATCCATCACAACAGTATAAGCAATGCAAGTTATTTTACTAGTTTCATTCATTCTCCTTATCTCTTTAATACGTTCATTCTACTCAAATGCTTAATATGACCATGCTTTTAGCTTTAAAAAAAGGTTTTGTGTTTTGAAGTAGAGTTGCACCTGCTGGAAAACATAGATGAGCAGATGAAAGATATGCATTCTTGAGAAAGTTGTGGTTTGGTTTATCTTTTGCAAAGTTTAATTTTGTTTTTCTCCATTGCAAAGGATGGGTCTCAGCTGTTTCATCTAGGAAATGCACAATATAAGTTAAAAAGAAGTGACCTAGATATTCAACAGAGGGAAGGCAGCAAATCTGCCATATTCATGTTATGTTTTGGCTTTAAGAGAAAGAGATCGAACACCAGTTCCAATACATTAATCTGCATGGGCTTTACAGGCTGCAAGACTGAGAACAAGCCAAGAGAGTAAAGACAAAAATCCACCCAGAGGAAAAGTGTTCTTGCCATACATCAAGGGAACCACTGACCGCATAGGGAAGCTGATGAGGAAACACAACATACAAACTACCTACAGACCCACCAAGAAAATCCAACAAATGCTACGTTCAGCAAAGGACAAGAGGGATCCTCTCACTTCTGCAGGAGTCTACCGTATACCATGCAGCTGTGGACAAGTCTACAAAGGGACCACCAAACGCAGTGCCCAATCACGAATCAAGGAACATGAAAGGCACTGCTGACTACTTCAACCAGAGAAGTCAGCCATAGCAGAGCACCTGATGAACCAACCTGGACACAGCATATTATTTGAGAACACAGAAATGCTGGACCACTCCAACAACCACCATGTCAGACTAAACAGAGAAGCCATTGAAATCCACAAGCATGTGGACAATTTCAACAGAAAGGAGGAAACCATGAAAATGAACAAAATCTGGCTACCAGTATTAAAAAACTCTAAAATTACAACAGCACAACAACAGAGGAAACAAACAAGGACATCTAATCACCTCTCAACAAAAGATTGCTCCAGGCACTGCCAGGCCATCAAATGCTAATCAAGGTGGTCAGTTGAAACATTCACACCTAACTTCAACAGATAAAAGTCCCTTGTCCCACCCTGGTCATTCCACAGATATATAAACCCATTTTCCTTGTTCCAACAGACCTCACTACCTCTGAGGTAGTGAGGTCTCTTTTGCATAGAGCAGGCAAAACGTCTGGAGAGAATGCCTCTAGAACATGGCCATATAGCCTGAAAAAATCGACAACACCCCAGTGATTCCAGCCATGAAAGCCTTCGACAATACATGTGATTATCCTTGTTTTAGTTTATTGAGAAAGTCAGGGAATGAGCCTGCATGTGATGTGTTGCAAGTTACCCATTTTTGATTTAGAGTTGTACATAAACATAATAATAAACCAAAAATAAAATTTCAACTAAGTGATACGTCATCAAAAGATTGGCATAGTATATTGAGATGTACATCTATGTGTAAATTAGCCCTTACATGGATCAGAAACTATGACTTTTCCAGGGCACCCTCACTATATTCATATTAGCTACTACATATTAAGGCCATCCATATTGTATTATGCATCCTTCTATAATTTATCTGCCTGCCATTTTTGTGTTTTAGCTTCTCTGCCATTGGATTTGAATCTTCTAATGATGATCGCAGGCGGTGTTGTCGTCTTTATCATCTCTATAGCTCTGATAGTTTACTGTGTCAGAAAGAAGAGAAGAGAAAGACGTGAAACTGAAGGTAATTCCAACTTGCTTTGATATATGAGCATGTAAACAGTTATTCTTTTTTTATGGACCAGGGGTCTTAGAGTTATCATAAGTTGATTAAATGGTGCTTATTGGCTTTCATAGAGTTAATGTGAATTTATGTGTGATGCATATTGCAAAGGGAATAAAGAGACAAGAGATTTGGGTGAGAGATTGTACTGACAGGTTTTAGTAGAACATTTCAGTGCAAAGAGCAACAGGGAGTTTCAGAGGAATTTAAGGGAAGGTGTTCAGATTAGCAAGAGAAAAGTAAAGAATAAAGGGAAAGAAATGTGTGATTTGGAAAACATTTAAGACATAAGGGCACTTATTGCAGGTGTGCAGACACCGGAGAAGAGAGAGAGAAATAGAGAGTAGAGGTAGGGTTGGGTTGCTGTGAGTTTTCCGAGCTGTATGGTCATGTTCCATTCTCTCCTGATGTTTCGCCCACATCTATGGCAGGCATCCTCAGAGGTTGTGAGGTCTGTTGGAAACTAGGCAAGCGGGGTTTATATATCTGGAATGTTCAGGGTGGAGAAAGAACTCTTGTCTACCTGAGGCAAGTGTGAATGTTGTAATTGGCCAGCTTGTTTAGCACTGAATGACTTTGCAGTTTCAAAGTCTGGCTTCTTTCTGTTCAAGGGAATCCTTTGTTGGGAGATAATAGCAACAACAATTTATTTTTATACCCCACCAACCATCTCCCCAAGGGGACTCGGAGCGTCTTACAAGGGAGAATCCCAAAAATTACAAATCAAACACAACAGATAAAAACATCAGATATAAAGACATAATAACAATCACAATTGTAAACAACAACAAAACAATATGGCTGAAATAAAGAACATAGCTGAGGTACAGGCTCACTGAATACAATACATTCTGAAGGGAGCGCAAGAGAAGTGAACAATCAAGTAGGCAGGGCTGGAAATATTGTCATCAAAAGTGTTGAGATAGACAATAAGAGGGCCGATGTAAAGTGCTGAACTTAAAATAGGGACAGGAAAATTACTGGTGGCCTGCTTAATCAAAAGCACACCAGAACATGCCAACTGGCCCTGGTTGTTTCTTCTCTGGAGTTTCCCTGTCTTCAGAGTGTCCTGATTTTAGAGGTTTTTTTTAATATTGGTAGCCAGATTTTGTTCATTTTCATGGTGTTCTCCTTTCTGTTGAAATTGCCCACATGCTTGTGGATTTCAGTGGCTTCTCTGTGTAGCCTGACATAGTAGTTGTTAGATTGGCCCAGCATTTCTGTGTTCTCAAATAATATGCTGTGTCCAGGTTGGTTCATCAAATGCTCTGCTATGGCTGACTTCCCTGGTTGAATTAGTCTGCAGAGTCTTTCAAGTTCCTTGATCCGTGTTTGGGTGCGGTGTTTGGGAGACTTGTCTACAGCTGCATGGTATACAGTAGACTCCTACAGAGGTGAGACGATCCCTCTTGTCCTTTGCTAAATGTAGAGGTAGGTGTGTGTCTCCTAGGATCTCTCACCACAAACTGAGTTCCAGGTTAAGTAAGCCTAGAAGCAATAGCAGCTATGACCCCTGCTTCCCTCCCCACTAACCCTAACAGGGCCTGGGGAAGAGGAGGAAAGAGAGAGAAGACAGGTTGTTTCTCGGGAGATAGGAGAAAGCAAAGGCAGGTTGTTGGGGTAGGGAGGCAATAGAGTTGTTTCTTCTTGGATTTCTCTGCCTAGCGGAGAAATTCCAATACAGTAGGTTATTGTAGGTTTTTCTGCCTGCCACAGGTTTTTCTGTGGCAGGCATTCTCACAACCTCTGAGGATGCCTGCTGCAGATGAAGGCAAAACGTCAGGAGAGAATGCTTCTAGAACATGGAGATACAGCCCGAAAAACCTACAACAACCCAGTGATTCCGGCCATGAAAGCCTTCGACAATACATAGTTCCAATACAGCTTCCACCATTGCCACAGCTGACTTTTTTAAAACAGGTATTTGAACAGAATTTTAACCCAGATTTTTAGGGTCAATTTTTAACCAAAATGTTTCAACTTATATACATAGTTTTCTTTTTCTAAAAAGCTCACTATCTACAAAGCTGTTGTGCTGCTACTATCCTGTCCTGTCAGATCAATCACTAGCAGTTCAGAGGTTTTTTCTTTTTAATCCTTGTTACAGATCTGGAGAGAGAACTGCTGGCCCGGATGGCAGATGAGGATTTGAAACATCGGAAGCTTCCTCAACCTCCGGTTCCTTCTGGTCCTAACCAGACACACCAGCAACAACAAAGGGGGCCACTGGTTCGTCCTGATCCAAAGCAGGAGGGGCCCCCACCTAAGCCATGTCCACGTCCACCTCAACGGAAGCCGCCACGGCACAAGATAGAAAGGCCAAACATTTGAAAGTGTCATGCATCATCACAAGTGCCTATGCTGGTAGATCTTGATGAACAACTTAGCGTATTCATCCAATACATGTAAGACAGTGGTTCTCAACCTTCCTCATGTCGCGGACCCCTTAATACAGTTCCTCATGTTGTGGTGACCCCCAACCATAAAAATATTTTAATTGCTACTTCATAACTGTAATTTTGGTACTGTTATGAATTGTAATGTAAATATCTGATATGAAGGACATGTTTTCATTCACTGGACCAAATTTGGCACAAATACCCGATACACCCAAATTTGAATACTGGTGAGGTTGGGGGGGGGGGGGAGGCCCGATTTTGTCATTTAGGAGAGATAGTTGCTGGGATTTATAGTTAACCTACAATCAAAGTGTTCTGAACTCCACCAATGATGGAATTGAACCAAACTTGGCACATAGAATTCCCAGGACCAACAGAAAAAACTGGAAGTGTTTGGTGGGCATTGATCTTGAGTTTTGGAGTTGTAGTTCACCTACATCCAGAGAGGACTGTGGACTCAAAGAATGATGGATCTGGACCAAACTTGGCATGAATACTCAATATGCCCAAATGTGAACACTGGTGGAGTTTGGGGAAAATAGACCTTGACATTTGGGAGTTGTAGTTACTGGGATTTATAGTTCACCTACAATCAAAGAGCATTCTGAACTCAACTAACAATAAAATTGGGCCAAACTTTCCACACAAAACCCCCATGACCAACAGAAAATACAGTGTTTTCTGATGGTCTTTCGCGACCCTTCTGACATCCCCTCACGACCCCCCCAGGGGTCCTGACCCCCAGGTTGAGAAACACTGATTTAAGAGATCTTAATAATGAAACATTTACCATTGTAATTCATTTATTGTGCCATGGGCTGTTCCAGAGTCCCCTTTATCAGAATGCAACAGTTTAGGTTCAAATCATGAAGGTTTATCTCACAATATATAATATGGTTATTAATCTTTGAAGATCCATATTAATCTTCTTTTTTCTTGTTGCAACAGAATAAATTGAGGTGCGGATTCCTGATTTCAGGTCTATACATTCCAGTTTGTAAGAATGAATATGAATCATAATATATATTTACATGTTTGATGATGTTGAGAGAAATCTTATGTAAGAGGCAACAGGAGTGCACCCGGTACATAAAGATGAACATATATGATACAGAGAGACAGTATATGCATATAGCTTTGATTGGTATCATATATGTTACTCCCACATGCAGAACATGCCAGACGTACCCTGAGCAAGAACTTTTCCTGCCTCAGCAACATCGTCATCTTTCTCAAGAAAGATAAAACATTTACTTTGTGCCTTTTAAAAATGTTATATTCATAATTATTTTTGTATAATCCTAAAGTGTTATGATGTATTTGAACCGTGTGTGTACATTATATTATATGTGAAGAAATAAAAAGATGGCTTGGGATAAAACATATTGAATTTAATAATTATCGTAATCATAATAATACATTTCCTTTATATTTTGCTTTATCTCTCTGGAGGGACTCAGAGTGGATTACAGTTTTACATATATAAGGCAAACATTAAATACCTTTTTACACAGTGAACAATGACATACAATACACAAACAGAGGTAAAGGTCTTCTCCTTTCCATCTCCGGCGTCTAGAGGTGATCCTCACCTCCAGCCATGGGGAGCTGCTCTTGTTCCATTTTTTCCATGCCAAGGAGCCTGTTGTCCATAGACTTCTCAGATCGTTGCTGGCATGTCTGCATGGGGCACCCGTTTACCTCCCCGCTGAAGCGGTACCTACTGATCTACTCACATTACATGCTTTTGAACTGCTAGGTAGGCAGAAGCTAGGATTGACAGCCAGGAATACACCCCGACTCGCAGCTTCAAACTGCTAACTCTCCGGTCAGCAGATTTTCTGCAGCTAGCAGTTTGACCCGCTGTGCTACCACGGCCCCTTTAACACTATTTAACACTATATGAGTTTTTATAGAGTATTTTAAATGTTAAGAGATGACAAGAAAGGAATTCCATAATTTCCCAAATTGAACTTTTGTACTACCAACACCCAGCAAGGTCTGATCCAAAGGATTATCTGTGCGTAATTTGACCATATTTAGATTAATACTGAAAGTTGCTAGGTACCCCAGAATACCCAATAGTATCTCTCTCTCTCTCTCTCTCTCTCTCTCTCTAGAGAGAGAGAGAGGGAGGGATACAACCACGTGATTTAGAAGATACATACCAATGAAATTTCTCTAGCTGGGGTATAAAATAATGGTATTTATTTCTTATTTAAAGATCATAAAGTAGCTAAAATAATGATAATCCAAAGATGTCTTAAAAGTACCAATTCATTTTTTATTTTATGACCATCTACACTGACCATTTAATGCAGTTTCAAACCAGTATAAATGAAAGTGGTTTCGCTGTGCAGATATAAGAAATCCTGGAATCACTTTGGTGACACATCTTTTAGACATGCATCATTTCACAACACAGTCATTCAGTTTTACTGGTAAATGGGAGGTAAAACCACCCCCTTAGAAGAGATATGGTCACATATATAAATTGTAATATTTATTTATTTATTTATGACATTTGAAGCCTGCTTTTCTCAGCCTTACAGTGACTCATGGCGGCTTACAGAATTCGCAGAATTTGATGCCATACATTCATAAAAATACACTTAAAACATTCAACCTCATATTATAAAAAACATATAAAACCATTAAAAACATATAATTACCAGTGCCATCCTGTTAAAATCATTATCCAGCAGCATTGTCTAGCCTTCCATGTTCATTCTTTCTATTTCATAATTATTTATTCTGCCGCATTTCCAAATGCTTGTTCAAAAAGCATAGTTTTTACTCTTTTCCTGAAGGTCAGGAGGGAGGGGGCCGATCTAATATCCCTAGGGAGGGAGTTCACAAAAATAGTGAAATGTATGGGGATACAACATATACCATGAAAACCTTTCATTTATAAATATTTAAAATATATGATTTATTGCTTATTTCACATTGACTCAGAGGTTCCTTGTTACAGTTGCATGACATAGAATCATAGAGTTGGAAGAGACCTCATGGGCCATCCAGTCCAAGCCCCTGCCAAGAAGCAGGAATATTGCATTCAAAGAACCCCTGACAGATAGCCATCCAGCCTCTGTTTAAAAGCTTCCAAAGAAGGAGCCTCCACCACACTCTGGGGCAGAGAGTTCCACTGCTGAACGGCTCTCACAGTCAGGAAATTCTTCCTCATGTTCAGATGGAACATACCTACACACTGCAAGCCAACACCAAAGTGTTGTGACACACAGTTTGGAAAGCTCTGCACTAACATTCAATGGCATTTTATATTGTGTTTGGTTCTTTTGGATTGTCTGCAGTCTAGGTTGGAGGGCTATAATTCCCATAATTCTAAATAACTGGCCCAGTGATTACAGTGTATGGGAATTATAGTTCTATACATCTTGATAGCACCAGAATCTCACTACAGCAGAAGTAAAGCACTTCTGACTATCCAGATGCCTACATATTCCATACTCTCTCAATGCTGGAATGGGAATGATAGAAATTGGGAGTCTATCAACATTTGTATGGGCACATATTTGCTGGCCCTGGGCTGTAGTACAGTCAGCTTTTTCTCCTTCTATTCATCTTCCATTTCCTGGGCTCAATGCTTTTGAAAATGTCATTGAATGTTTGTCAGAAGCTGATCCCACTTTCAGTTCATCAATATTCTGGAAAAAGTTGCACATGTTAAATTCCATCATGCTGTTGTTGTGTGCCTTCAAATAATTTCTGACTTGTACAGACCCTAAGGCAAACCAGTCACAGGGTTTTCTTGGCCAAGTTTGTTCAGAAGGGGTCTGCCTTTGCTTTCTTCTAAGGCCAAGAAAGTATGAGTATGCATCATATTAGGGGCTAGTATAAAAATTGCTGGGAGAAACCTTGAAGTATGGTATGACAGCACTAAAACCTCTGTACTCACCCTGCACTTCACATCGCGCTTCAAGGTTTCAGAACTGAGTCCCATGTGGGTAGAAGTACTGAACCACAGGTTGCAAGAAAAATCATGGTTTCCTGTGAAAACATTGTTGACAGTGTATGACAAAGTTTTGCCTTTTGCTCAGGAGAAGCCTCAAGAGCCTATTAAAAAGGCAACACATTATGTGTGTCAGCAAAGCTAGATTTTTGTTTTTTTCTGACTTTTCTGTGTCTAATAAATGAATGCGTTGAGTATCTTCTGATGCAACCCAGAAATATAAATGAAGTCAAAGAACGGATTGTGATCTGCTAGGCAAGAGCCAGACAAAACGGAGATTATGTTATAGTGCCTATATTTCCACATCATGGGAAACTGTGGTTAAGTTTACACTTTGGGTTTGCACAGTATATTTTCCATAGTAAATTCTTTCTTTCCTACCAGTGAGAGTGTAAGGAGAAGAAACTAAGTTACCATTACCCTATATAGTTATATATAAGTCTAGAAATTTTAGTCAAAACACCAACCCTAAAAACTGATTCAAATTATTCACAAAGTATGACTACTCTATCTTAATAGTTATCAAAAAATGAGCCACTCCCTTCTCTGAATAGAGTGGAGAAAGACAAAAGCTTAATCTGTCCTGGAAGATCCCAAAAGAAGCACTGATCCCTTTTCTCTTTCTGATGTGGTGTCGCTTCTTGCCTTTTGGATTTTGGAATGCTGTTTTCCCATCTCTGTGGAATGACCATAGACATATCCAGAGGTCACATGAAAACCAATAATTTTGCCCCACAAAGTGCCCAGGACTTATACATAAGGCTGACACAAGTATGGTTATCGTAACCGTGGTTTATGGAAACAGCTAGAGCCATAATTCATGGTTTGAAGTTGATTTGTTTTGGTGAACCATCGCTGAAATTGGCTGTTGTCTGTCTGGGTTTCATATAATGCTTACTCGTAGTTGTCAAAAATGCAAGTGAAAACTTTCTATTCCTCTTTGAAGCTACAAAGGAAGGGTAATTCTGGTAACAGGAGCTGGGGAAATGCATGAAATCTCTTCTTAAGCTGGATCTACACCACCATAAAAAAAGATAAAGGTTTTTCCCTGACGTTAAGTCCAGTCATGTCCGACTCTGTGGAGGAGGGAAGTGGTAGTGCTCATCTTCATTTCTAAGCCGAAGAGCCGGCATTATCCATAGACACCTCCAAGGTCATGTGGCCGGCATGACTGCATGAAGTGCTGTTACCTTCCTGCTGAAGCATTACCTATTGATCTACTCACATTTGCATGTTTTTGAACTGCTAGATTGGAAGAAGCTGGGGCTAATAGCAGGAGCTCACTCTGTTCCCTGGATTCGAACCACCAACCTTTCAGTCAGCAAGTTCAGCAGCTCAGTGGTTTAACCTGCTGCACCACCGACAATGCAGTTATCAGTGTAGACTCATAAAATGCGATTCAATGCAGTTAAACTGCATTATATGCATTTACACTGACAGTTGTCTGCTAAGGTACCCCTAAGTTGCAGGCCTCCAGCAAAGGAGATTCTGTCATTTTTCCAATAGGAAGATGCTATAGTTTTCCTGGAAAGTCATATTTTTCAGTGGTTGTCTCCAAATATGAAAGATTTATGTATGTATGTATGTATGTATGTATGTATGTATGTATGTATATCCTGCTTATCTCTCCGTACGGAGACTCAGAGTGGCTCACAATTAAAAGCATTACAATACAACTTAAAATATACAAATATCTATACACATAGTAAAAGCTAAAATATGTATGTGTGTGCATTGCTGGATGTCCACTTACACAAACAGGCTCCTGCCTTCACAAACCGCTATAGCTCCTACTACTCAGGAGACAGCAATGACCCTCCCTCCAATGACATTGCAGGTTATAGTGAGTGTCATGAGCATGTCCAAGAGTCCTGCCAATGTCCTCCACAAACACAATCCTGCCCCACACCCAAGTGAAGATTAGAGCTTTCATGGTAGGAACTTGCAGAAAATTATGGACTAGGGAGAGTGGATACGGCAAAGCATTTCAAGAAAGCTTGACAGAAATATCTCTATACAGGATGCATTTGTTTACCAACAAGCTCCCAGGTTCCACATTTAATGGGACCCAACATGCATGCTACTCATCCTATGTGAAGACAGCATCTTCTTATTCATTAATTCCTCATACTGTAGGTGAAAAAAAAAACACTCGAACATTAGGGGAAGCTGTCTGAGAGTGGAATATTCTGCCTCAGTGTGCGGTGGAGTCTGTTTTGGAGGTTTTTAAGCAGATGCTGGATCTCCATCTGTCAGGAATGTTTCGATTGTGTGTTCCTGCCTGGCAGGGGATCAGACTGGATGACCCTTGGGGGTTTCTTCTAATTCTATGATTTTATTATTTAAATGAATTTCTTTTAGGTAATGAAGAGAAACCCTATACATGTTGAAGCTAT